AGAACAGAGCATTACGCACCACTGAGTGCTGGGGATAGATAACCAGTGATTAGAAGGCTGGGAAGGAATGAGGTTTTTGCCTTACTAATGGCACAGCATTCCACTGAACATTGAAGAGAGTTCTGTTAGAATGAGGTCTAAGAACAAATAAGGTACAACATGTTCCAGAAATGCCAAATTTGACAGCACAATACTTATATCACAGGGAGCAATCTGGAGCAAATTCTGGGCAATACTGTATCATCAGATACTGGCACAATGTAACTGTCTCAAGTTTAAGTGCAGACACATACAGTTACAGGCAGAGGGATCTCCAGCAATGCGATAGTGATGTAGGCCATCAGCGAGACCTCGTTGTCCACTCCTCCCTGCAGGGAAAAAAAAGGGTAGGTGCTAATCTCACCTAGCTTCCTATGTGCTGTCCTTCTTCCCATTCCAGTGGGAATACTTCACTCTGCATTGTAAACTCTTAGTTTGCGTCCTCCCCCTTGCAGCAGGTGTGGATGTATCAATACCACTTATAAAGTGCAGGTTAGCCTTCATTCTTCTTCCTATATTGCAATCATACAGAATGGCATCTGCCTCCCTAGTGCTTGCCATTGACATGTGAATTTCTCATCTGCCTGTACGCTCAGGAAGCTCAACTGGACCCCCCTGACTTGTGGTCAAGTTGTAGCCTTACAAACAAACAACCAGGCAAACACTTTACCTTCATAGCATTGTTCAAGAGTGACCCAGAACTGCGGAAACAGCCATTCTCTTTCTGTTTGTAGGACAGCCACACCAAAGCATCCTGGATGTGCTTCTCATCTATGAAGATGTGAGTCCGGGCCTGGGCAAAGGACTTGAGGACAAAGGCTGTGAGCCTGAAAGGGAGAAATAGCAGTGAAAGGACATTTGTCCTGTTGTTTATCTCAGGTGACAGGGCCCACATGCACATCATCTGTCTGGAGAAAGGCAAGAAGGCCTAGGGAGCTGTGGGCGAGTTAGTCAGACCACATATACATTATGTCTTCACCTCAAAAGATCTGTCAAAAAATCTGCTTTCCACCTTGATTTGTTGTCCCTCTCTTGGTTCATAAAACCCTGTGATCCCTTTGTGTTGAGACTACAGCTTGAAGGAAAAGGTAGGGAATTGCATGCCAGTTAGCTCAACATCGCATAATAGTAATACTCAAAATGACGGCGAAGAATAATTAAATCCCTGCTGGCTCATGGTCTGCTGACAGGACTCTTGCACTAGAAACACTGTCTCATGAGTTTCCCAGAACTTTCTGCAGTTTTAAAGAAGGTCATGCTAAAGAGTTTTTGTTAGAGAAGAAGCACGCATGTGGTGAGATGCCAACATGCTGTCAAGAGTCAGGTACTGTTTCAGAAACTAAAAACAAACTGAAGATGGTGAAATCATCCATTCTTACCCTTGCCTAGAGTTGAAAGTACGTGGCAGTGTTATGCTGGAGCAACTCAAAACTTTGCAGTAAGTCACACTGGCAACACACACACTTCTCCGGGCTGTCTTTGCTTAGTAATACATACGATTGGAAAAAAAAGCTGCTCTTGAATTATCATCCTTTCCACTTATACAGAAACAATTTTCCCAGCAGATGCTACTCTAGAAGAGCTGCCACTGCAACTCTTCAGCCTTCCTCAGTCAGGATGTGAAATCCCTGCTCCCTTCTTCCCTGATTTATCTTCATTTCTTTCTTGTCTGTCATGGTCCTCAGAGCTGCTGGTGGGAGGATGTGCTTCAGCTCCATAACTGGATGATGCAGCCTATTTCATTAAGCAGGAGGCAGCAAAGGGACCACACTAGCAAAAAAAACAACAGCATGTCGTATTTACTGTGATGCAGCATTTATTATAAACATGTAGGTAAGAAAGAGGAGTGTTTAGGGGAGGCATAGGTGACATCATTGATATCTCACCAGGTGTTCCCTGGTTGGCCATAATGTGGTCCAAATGTACTGTAAGAGCCATCCGAGTGCTTGTAGTTTAGTTGCCTCTGATAACCTGCAATGGAGGGTTAAAGCAAGATTCAAATGCCAGAGAAAGTCTGCTGAGGGATGGGGGAACAGAAAAACAGCTTATCAGCAAAGGCAAAAGAGAGAAGAGTAGGTCAGTCCTATCCTATCCTAGCCAATAAGAAGTACTGGTACATGCACACCTCCATGCATTGCTTGTACTGCAGGAGGAGAAAAAACACCTTCCTTTCTTCAAAAGGAAGGCAGGACATGATAATGACAGTGGACAAGTCACTGTAGGAGGCCACCTAACAACTCTGGGGAGAGGAGCAGAGAAAATTGGGTACCCTAATGCTTAAGCAAACAGAAAATAATGACGGAAAAACCAGCGAACAGCCTTCTCAGGAATACAGCACAGACCATCTGTGTGTGAGAGAAACTCTCTTTCCACATCTGGCTGGCATTTGACAGAAACACCCCAGGAAGAATCTGGAAAAAAGCTAAAGCAGAATCAAAAGCCGTGTCCCAGCTCACCGCTCACTAAGTATCCAATGGCCTTGGATTTGACCTCCTCACTCAGCTGCCCTGTCTTGTTCAGGTAGTCCAGGACATAGATATTGGGTGCAAACAGGACCATGTTCTGCTCCCCACAGCCAAATGGCATCTGGAGGAGCTGGTGCAGGTTCTGCATGGCAGTGCCCATGATGTCACCTGAGGAGAAGGAGATAACAGAGGAATATTAATAATACTCAAGGCTAACAGAGTCCAAGGGTACTACTGAATGAGAGAAGCAGGAGATGACTGAGAAGAACAAAAGAAAGTCTGAATTGAAAAAGGTCCTGGAATGAAGCACAGAACAGCAGAGAAAAGGAAGAGAGAAATGAGAGAAAGGCGCTGGCAAAGAACCCCAAGCAAAAGGACATGCAGAAAGGGGGAAAAAAAAGAGTACAACTGGAAGGAAAATTGCTCGAGTCAGAAGGGATCAAAGACAGGAGTGAGGTGTGCTGGAAACCAGGAGAAAAAGCTATGAGGTAGGAGGTCAACACAGAGGGGCAGAAACAGCACGTAGTTCTTCTGCCAGTCTGATTACTCACCCAGCACTGAAAAATATGCTCGGCCTGAGTCTTTTACCACATTTGAGGGTAGCAACAAGGAAAATTCCTCTTTCACAGGCACTCCTGAAAGAAACAAGAACCAAACAAATTGAGTGCAATCCTAAAAAAATGGTTAATGGAAGGGGAAGGGGCCTCAGTGAAACAACACCTATTGGAAATGCCCTGAATTCCATCACTTCGCTTTTCCCTGGCTATAAGGCAATCTCTGCATGAAACCACCCCCAGTCACTGTTAAGCACTCTAGATCGCTTTTTCCTGGCCATGCTAGAAAACAGGAGGCAGCGTTTCTAACTCCAGTGTCAGCAGACAAGAGAACAGGGATGCAAACAGTCATGCTAGATCTGTCCTAGCACATACCCTGGTGCTTAAACAGGATGGTCCATACTCTAGGGCTTTCTTCTGTTTTACGTCTTCGGCTCCCAAGTGATGGAGCATGTTTTGATTACCTAAAAATACCAGCCTATCTGGAATATGACAGGAGCAGCACTGTCTTCGTCCTCCAGGCACATCCCACTCATCAAACCACACAGGAACAAATGGAGAAGGTGGGGAGAGTGATCTTTACCTTTTACACAGAGCACAGAGTTCTGGACTGTTTCCTTCTCGATTCCTTCAGGCTTGAGTGGGATGAAGGAAAACAAGAGAGATGAGAAGTTAGTGAGACAGGAAATAGAAACAGAAAGAGGAATCCTTAACAAGGGCATAGGGATACGTGAAAATAAAAGTGAGTGAACTGAAGAAGGAGAGGAATTCACAAACACTCCTGAAATAATAATTTAAGCAAGTAAAAGACATATGATCTTAAGTGACTGGTGTTACCAGGATAGGAAAAGGGGAAGGGAACACTGCAGGACTGTGACATGGATGGCCTGCAACTAATTGTATGCAGTGAAAGACACTTAACATCCTTGTAACAAAAGGACTGCAGCATTACAGCAAGTGCTTTTGTTAGCAAAAGCTCACAGTAGCTCTAGAGGGCTGTCCTGAAGAGCTGTCTGCAGTGCTATTTATCATAATGCTGCAGATGCTTTAGCAAAAAAAAAATGGTTCTGTTAATGATAGAAAGGGAAGACGCTGTACATAGTAATATCTGGTGACACTACTGATACTATAAAACATAGTAGGCAAGTGTTAGGGTTTTTTATGTTACAGAAAAAAGCTGAGTATCTACCTGCCAGATTTCCACACTCAGCAAAATAAATCAGCATCTTCTTGTAAAGGATATGCAATATTTCCACATAATATTACCCTCTGTACCACATCACATCAGCGACTCTTCTTGCCACAGAAAATGAATAAGCTATACAATTTTTAATATATTTTCATGGACTTTTATAGTATCTGGAGTGCTGAGGGGACTTCACTATAGGCACTGAATTCCCTTAGGTGCTTATGAACCCCCCACTGTCACCCCAGTGCCAGACTATAGAAGAAAACCAGAACTGCAGTAACACTCAGCTTAAGAGCCAGTTTGCTTGGCCACTCAAGTAGCAGAGAGGCAGCACGTGAGGACTGGCAAACTTACTGGGGATGTCTCAAAAGGAGGAGAGAGGCTGTAAAGAGGGTGTGTTGGAATAGAAGGTAGGAGATAAAGAGAAGAATGGATTGGAGTAGGAGTCTTCCTACAGTAGAGGACAGGGAAGGTTTAGAGTATTGCCCTTTTTGCACAGCATTATTAAGTTGCAGTCTTTATGCAGCCATGCCAAAGTATAAAGATTATGTAAGACCATCATATTGTCACACTGTGTAGTGATCTTGTAGGATCATGGCCAGGTTAGAAGGGACTATAAAAGATGATCTAGTCAAACTTTTCCTGGGAAAGGGAGGCGCTAGAGGAGAGGTGCTAGAGCCCTTCAATAATTTTTGCTGCCCTCCTCTGAACCTGCTCCAACAAGTTCATGTCCTTCTTGTGTTGAGGGCTCCAGAGCTGGACACAGTCTTGTCCAATTGCATCACAACATACGCTCTAACCTGTGGGAAAGCTTGGTCCTCCCTTTCCACAGCCCATGTACCTCCACCAGCAGCTGCCTGATAACCGTGTCCTTCCGCCCTTTCTCAGGGGTCTCCACAATGGCATTCCCACAGGGCTGCTGGTTCTGCAGGGCCTCAGTGCTCACCGAGAACTCCACCTGCCCTGTAGGAAAGAGGGGTCAGTCAGCCCTGCTGGGCAGTGCCAGGCAGTAGGAATCACTGCCACTTCCAGGAGTTTCACCTTGTAGGTTCATGGATGGGGATTTTCTATCACACTTGCGCCCTGCTTCTTTCCCACAAGAGCATAACTGTCTATATCAGAAACCATCCTGGAGCAGATGAGCTGCAGTGCCATTGAAAATTATAAAGATCCCATGGGTCAACAAATCATCCAAACTCTGGGAGGAATGAAGCTAACGAAGCATCCCTGCTGGCCAGCAATATCTCTGGCCTCAGAAGACATTGTCCAGTGGCTGTAAGGATGCATGGGGTGCCAGACATAACGTTGGGCACTATGAGTCCATCAGCTTTTACCTCCCAAATAATCCCAAATGAGACAGACACTCAGATACGGTGCTTGCTGGGAAACTGTGTTGCTCTAACACCCGCTACTGACTGGGGAGAACAGCTCAGCGAAACTTTTCTAGAAGTTCTCAGCACCCTTTACCTAAAGACCTGGGAGTCACCAGCCAGGCCACAGTATTCCTCCCGTTCTCACAGACACAATAAGATTCTTCCTCCTTTTCCACTGGAGTAGCCAGGAAATGAGTAGACTGAGCCAGTGTCACGCTGACCTGCCAGTTGCAGAGAGAGGCACAATCAGAGAAGGGTGATTGTGAGAGACAAGGGGCTAGGAAGCCATATCAATAGCTATTCCTTCAGTAGGAAAGGAGCAGAGAGCTGGAGTTGTGGGTTCTGTATTTGCAGTCTATAGGAGGAAGAATGTAAGAATTTTGGGGTGAAGCCTCTAGAGATACTTCGACATAAGATAAGAAAGCTAGGTGAAAGCAAGAGGTGTACAGGAAGGTACACAAGTACAGAGGAGGATTTGAACCTTCCTTACCCTGATGCAGGCTGTCAGGTAGTTGAAAACAGTGGCTTTCAGTGTGAAGGATTCACCACGCACGACAGAGTAGGGCATGGTGAGCTCTACAAAGAAGGGCTGGAAGGCTCTGAGGGACACTGTTGGGGACAGGCCAAAGCCCGTGTCTGCCGAAGTGCAGAATGCGTTGGCTTTCCACTCGGTGATGGTGTCAGGGATGGTCACATCTAGATCAGCATTTCCCTCAGAGCTGGTGAAGCACAGACAGGAAGGACAGAGGGATGATTCTTATGCCATTTTGGTAACTATCTGTACCCCTTTTGGCCCACTGAACAGTATTGTCCGTGTAAATGATGAGGGACAGCGTGTCTGTTACTTTAGGGCCACTCCACATCTTCCAGACTCACAACCACTTGTGGACAAACCTAACAATGGCTGAAAGTAATTCTGTCTATCTTGGAAGATTGCCACATGATCTCTGCAAGCAATGAAGGACTTTTTGGCATTGAAAAGGCCTGGTGAACATGTGGGGATTCATGTTTTCACCTTATAAAACCAATTTTCATTAAAAAGCCCAAGGTGCTTACCTTATAGATACTAAACTCCAAATCCAAGTTTCTGGGAAATATTTTCGAACTGTCTCTGTGAGCTTTTCAGGAGTGCTTGATGTGGGAGAAATTCTACCTGTCTCAAGGCCTGAATGTAATGAGATGGAAAAGAAATCAGCTACTGATGATTCCAAACAAGTTCTACATCAGCATCATGCTTTGCTCTGAGAAAGTTACAATCTATGAGGCAATCAAGCTTTCCTGACAGCAGATGTGTGCTGTGGCTGTAATGAGTGCTGGTGCCAAGAGCAGTGATGTTGCAGGGTCAGGGCTTATTAAGAAGAAGAGATAGCCTTCCATTACTTCCCACTGCTCTCAAGTGAACTTTGAAGTTTAAGGGGCAGCACTTTACAAGGTTACACCAAGAATGTTAGAGCAAAGAAATATTTATGACCTGTGCATGGAGCATTTTCACTTTCAGATACAGTCTTCACATTCTTCTCCATCCTATCAGGCAAGCTAGCAATGGAACATCCCTCTATTGCAGTGTTTCTTGTAGGGTCATTGTGACTCAGGAAACCACCTCCCTGCCAAATCTGTGGCCTCCTCAAGAACTAGGCTGAAGACCCTCAAAAAAATAGACCTTTTGACTAAAACAGAATTTTCACATGCAAAAATTATTCCCCAGAAAATATTCTGAGTTTGGGATAAATTTGGTAAAAAAAAAGCCTTTGTTTAACTTTGGTTTTCAACAACCAGAAAACAAAGATGGCATGGGTGGGACTTGGTTTGCTTGGCTTTTGCAAACAGAAAGAGAAATCCACATGAACAGATAAAAGAAGTTCTTAACTAATTTCTAGTTTTAGTCATCTTTACTTTGACTAGATTAGTTTCTACATTTGGATAACAACTGTGTAGCTAGCAAGTATCCATACTACCTGTGCAGCGGGCACCTCCAGAGTCCAAGAAGGTCTCAGGACAAGAGTGAAAGATGCTATCAGAGCTGTATCACATAGCTTCTAGCAACAGTGACAGGTGACTTGCTTGTATTTGTCTATCATGGTACTTCAGTCTCCTTACTGATGTCTATTTCAGTTTAAAATAATTTAAAAGCATCTATCCTGCATCTTAGCAACTTGTGTCAGAAGTTTAATTTGTCTTAAAATTGAACACGTACAAAAGCACAGGTTCTTGTGTCGGGGAAAAACTCTCTGAATCAGTTATCCAGCTAGATTAACTTAGATTTCCTGGGCTGTTTACCTTAATATGAGATGGTGGAGCATGGTATAGCTATTCTGTCACCTAAACAGCTACAGTGTAAGTGTTGCGAGAGCCCTTAAAAATAGGGTGTGTCCATTTCAGACTGGACTTCTACCACACACATCTTACCATCCTAAGCCTCCAAAATCTACCAGCTTGTCACTGAAAATTTTGTCATACACGTCCTCTGGTTTTGATCATGCATAAAACTGAATGAGTCAATAAGCACAGACTGAAGATGTTATTGGAGATATTTTAAGTGATATCTGGGAAAAGAAGTCAACTGTAAAAGCCTCGTGGACAGAGAATTCTGCAGTGGAATATCCTCTGCTCTGCCAGAGTCTCTGAAAACTACCTGGTTCTGCTACGTCTAATGTGGAGTTACCAAAGCTTGTCTGTAGACCTTCACATCCCAGAAGAAGAGGTAAGTTCCACACTTATGCAGAAGCTAAAATCTGTGAACCCATCAATTCAGTACTACTTGGAAGGGTTCAATTCACAACCCCAGCTCTGTTTCAATATTCACCCCAAAATACAGACAGGACCTCTGCTCAGAACAGAGGTCATAACAAAACCCCATTCCTTTACCGCTTGTCCTCATTGCATACATAGGTGCTCCAGCCATGGCTAAAGGTGCTCCAAGGCCGTCTCCTCCAGACACGAAATTCCCAGTGCCGCAATACCAAGGTTTCCTCACCTTGGTATTTGTGAAAATCTTTAAACCCATTTCCTACAGGAGAGAAACCCAACACGTTTTTCTGTTACTGATTCCTGTTGAAGTTTACAGAGCAGACCTAATGTTGGTATTTCACTGCCTCTAAAGGGAAGTGGTTACTGTCTGTGGACTGGACCTTGAGATGACCCCCTCAGTCTTGGGTCTGGCTGTCTGAGTGGCTCAGAGATACCAAAGGACAGATCCCGTGTTTGTAGTGCACTGGTACCAGTCCAGGGGTCAGAACAAGCCAAGGAGTAGATAGAATTTTCTCTCTGGAAGGAAATATCTGTGGCTATGATGCAGCTCAAGGATATTGATCTATTTGGCCTAACTATAATGGCACAGGTTTATTTACCTCCCATTAGAACCTCATTTCAAGTCAACCTCAAAGCTTTTCCTGTAAGAGGAAAACTTTGAGACTGATCCCTTTTCCACAAACTGGAGAGCAAAGCTGGCAAGATAGATGAAGTTTATGACTCTTACTGAACTTGTCTCTGGATAAAAATTAGTGTCAGATCATATTGCTTCACAAATCCTTCCTTTGTTATGTTGCATCATGCCCCAGAAGGCTTAAGCATTCTCAGTCCACCTGAGACTCCCACTGCACTCCCCATGCATGCAAGAGGGCTATACCTTTAGGATGCTGTAAGCGTCCTCCTCATTCGGCTCCACTACTGGAGAATAGGTGATTCCATCCAAAACTATCTTCTTCAAGGGGACACAGTTCTCCAGCAGCTCCTCCCAGAGCATGTCTGGACCGTGGCGATAGTCATGTAATTCCTTCACTGGCAGCAAGCTATACACCTAAGCAGAAAGAGCCAGGGTATTTGGCATTTTCAGTGTACACTGTCACAAAATACAACTGAAGGAGTTGGATGCAAGCTCCATAACAGTCCCATCACCTGCACATACATCCACATTGCCGTGGTCCTCCCTGTCGTGGGAGCAATGAAAATTTAGAGGGCAATAAAGAGATACAAATTTGGAGGTACTGTCTCTTTTGTTACGGAGAGCATGTTACTCTGGTTTTTATGGTCAAATACATAAAAAATTACAAAAGTCAGCCCATCTGCAGTACTTTGTCTCTATTCAGGGACTGGCATTTTCTGCTTGGCATGAGGGGAATAAACTCTCTGGCACTTCTAGATGCTACTCTAAGAAAATTAACCCATGGCTGGAGAGAATAACTGAAAAATTATCAGATGCACAACAGTGTGTGGCTTTGGCCAAGAAAAGCAGTCCCCTTAAAAAAGCTTCCTAATTGCCATCCCTACAGTCGCACAAAGCCCCCAAGAAACAGCTGCCGCCCAGAAACAGCACAGGGTGGCTTTCCTGTGTCAGCACCAACAAGAGGGACTTTTGACAGCTTCCACTCCAGCACTGGGTTGAACGTGCTCTGACCAGGTTCTGACGCTTCACAGACTAGGCACTTACAGAGCTGGGTGACAGGTCAGCTTCTGGCTTCATAAGGAGAACGCTCTTGTCCACAGCACGGACAGCACAGAGGGAGTTTGGGGAGGCTCTGAACAGCAATTGAGCATCAGAGGAAGGAAGGCCTTCAGAAGGAGAGAAGCTTAAGTCCACCTGTAGCCACAGAAGAAGCTATGTCACAAATGCCCTACCCTTGCAGGACTTTTCCCTCAGGTTGGATACGACAGTTCCAACCTTACAAAGCCCACATAAGCATGCACACCCCACCTCCCACCTAGCCACTCCCTCCACACTACTACAGAGCTGGGTTTCCTTCCTCCAGGGCCAGAGGAATCAGTACCGACAGTTTTTGGCAACTTCAAGCATCACAGTTTCTCATAAAACTTTTAAAGTTGTTTGGGTTTTATGACCACTGTGAATGTGATGAGATAATCTCACATAGTGGCTAGATCTGTTTAGGCAACTGGGCATGGTCTTGAACCAGGTCCAGTCTCTGCAATGCACCCACATATTGTATGTGAAGGGAAAACAGGCTTTTAAAGACCTTGCTTAGGAGATTCTTTGGTAACATGAGAAGCAGTGATGCTCTAAAGCAATATTGCAATATCTACTGTCTGGTAATGATTCTGAAGAACTGGCCTATTGGCTGAGGCCTGCCAGACCTATGTGCCTTCTCCAAATCCTAACTCACAGCTCTAACATCCCCCTACTAAGCTCTGCCCTGGAAGTTCTTGCTAGTAGATGTTGTTGTCATCGCCATCTCACATGATTTTGTAATAAGATGACTGACCTGGATAAATCTTCCCTCTCCTCTGCAGTACAAACCCTCCTCTAACATGCTAAGCATCCTCAAAGTAAACATGTTGCCTGAAAAAGCACCATCAGCTGTTAGTCTCCCTCATGTCCCAGCCAGACCACAGCATGAGTTTTGCTGACACCTCCACCTTTCCCAGGGCGGACTCATAATCTTGAGACTGCAAAAGCAATATTCTTCAGGAAATTGCAGAAATGGGGCTGTAGCAAGCTTGCTACTAGGAAAACTGTCTGCCATAGAGGTGGCCCAAAGTCTGTCCTAACTGGTCTGACAACACCTTTGAATTCAGGTGAGCTTGACCATGCTGCAGTCTGCTGGCTGCTCCCTCAAGAAGTGAACACTCACCTTGTTGCTGAAACACTTTTCTACATTGAACTTGGCTGAATCAGCAATCACCTGCCTGTTGGGGGCAGTGGTGTAGACAAGCACTTGGGCTACTGGAGCAATATCAGCTTGTACAGACAGCTGTAGCAAGAAGACGCCATTGGCTAGCAAACAAAACAAGAGCAAACAGTTAAGGTACAGGAAACCTCCTCTTGGAGCAGACAAAGTTCTAGGTTTGACTTTATGCTGAACATTATCCTAGCCATGATGAAACTCTAGGCTTCCAAGTGTAAAGAATTGATGCTCACAGGGATGCGTAATTCTCACTGACTGAAAAGACCTGTTTCAAGTGCTGTCTTCCAGTGCATAACCATGCTGAATTTTGGTTTCGCTTATAAAAACAGACCATCAGACTGTGTCTCCTAGGAACACTGGAGTCCCACAAATGCAGTGTCTGAAGAACGAGAGCTGGCACAGGGAATTAGAATAAGTCTGTGCAAAGCCTAAATAAAGGAAGAGAAAGCTCAAAATCTTCTCATATCTTAGAGGACATGGAAATGTAAATCCCTGCATTTATATGGAAGCAGCCTGTACGTCTGCTGCAGTTGCCTAGCCTCCCAGGACAGTGACAATTTGGCTGGGGAGAGGAACTCACTGCTTTCCTGGTCCAAATCCAGAACGTGGGTGCCCGCTTGCTTAATAATTCCCTTGGCCATCACCTGAAAGGAAGGAGAAACCCTGCTGTGACTGGGGTTATGCATGAGCCAAGTCTTAAAGATAGGGAACCTGAGAGGAGAGCAACTGAGGTGTGTGCCTGCTGCTCACACCCTGCACAGCTGCTCTTTGCCTCTCTGTAACAGAATCCCAGTGTTCACCCAGGGGGCATTGGGACATCATTATTCTGCTCCTAACCCAAATCCTCCTTTTTGTGAGAAAAGAACATATGAAGGATGATGGGAAGGTGTTTAAAGCCTGCTGCCACAAACCACAATTCCCATCTCCAACCCCACTGCAATTACCAGTGACAGCCTCACTGCATGGGAGGTGAAAGCTTACCAGGTAGTAAAAGACGATTTTCTTCTGCTCTCCTATTGCCTCCGGAGTAAAGATATAGTGCACCCGGACCTCTGTGGAGGAGCCACAGCTTAGTGTCTTGGGCTTGGGCTCAATTTTGAGGAAGCTATTGCTAGGAGAGTAAAAACGCTTTAGTGGTAGATAGCCTTCTTCATAACGTGGAACAACCCAGGAACGGTCATAGCAATAGGGATGTACTTTATGAATTGCCTGGAAAAAGGAGAAAATGCACACATAGATGCTCAAAGACAGGTGGATGAAGTGGAGCCAAAGTTCATGGCCTAATATTAAATTTTGGTATTTATTTTTCTTTAAGCAACAGGGTTGTCTACAAAAAAACAACATGAGTTTGGAAGATGCAGAGTGGTATCCTGGGAATTATCTCACTCCCAGAGAACCTGGAGTTTGTCTCAAAACAGGATGAATCACCTCAAGGGCTCTTTACCCTAATAGCTTGCCTCCTCTTATATCCTGTTGGTTTAAAGTGAAAAGAAGCCAGTTTTCATTTTTCTTCACATTATTGACACTGGAGAAGGGATAGTGCTGTTCAGTTCAAAGATTACCAGCGCTAAAATCATGCTAAGGATGCTACAAAACAGGAGGAAATTTCACCACCTACAAATGCAAAACCTTAACTGAATAGAAGTTTAGAAGCTGAGACAGCCCAAGTCTTCCTAAAAATGAAAGCAAGGGATGAAAATAGATTTGGAAGGGTGCTATTTCACCTTTCTGTGTGCCTCACATGCCCTTATTTCCTTATCTTTCTTGTTATGTTTTGGAATTCTTGCCTTTTCTTTACCTTGCAAATTTCTGAAAACTTCATGCACCTAGTGGTAACTTCTGGATATTTTTAATTGTCTTAATCTCCCTACAATTGTAGGGAGAAGAGCAAACATGGTTCCAGACAATCTGCCCTATTCCAGGGTGTGATGTTATGAAATGTGCATATCTCACACATACTGCATATTCAATTAACAAAAGGATGCTCAGCAGCAATTATTTTTTCCCAGATAAACTAATTCTACACCAGGGAAAGAATTTCTGTGAATGGCTCAAATTCTTTTTCTCTTTATGGCAAAAAAAAAAAGGAAAAACAAACAAACAAAAGAAGTAAGACCACTTAGAAACTAGGAATATTAAATTAAGTCCTGAGACATACAGATTGCTTTAACTGACCATAAAGGATATTGAGATAAGATACTGGAGAAATTATTTAATTGAAAAGTCAGAGAAGCACTGGCAGCACTGCACTGTGGGAGTTAGACCCACCCTTGAAACAGATTTGTCTTGGTAGGACTGGTGATCCCTTGGAGCAGAACGGATTATTATGATCTCTTGATGTTCCTTCTAACCTTATATGACAATTGCCAAGCAGAAATCAAACACTTACAAGTGCAATGCAATTGTGACACGGCAATCTATCTTGTTGTACGACTATTCCCACCACACTGGTGTCGAGTTTGGCACAAATGACCAGGAACAAGAAACTAAATGCTTTTGCATATATAGTAGAAACTTCAGAGCTACTCCCCTTCCAGCCTTGTGCGTCTCTTTATCACCTCCTCTGTCTGCAGGACTCACCCGAATTCCCACAGAATCGTAGTACAACATGGAAGTGTTCAGGGTAAACCATGCCCTGCCCTCTTCATTTGTTGTGTAGTTGTCTTCCTGACCTCCTTGTGCAGAAATCCTCACAATTTCATTGGCGATTGGAGCACCAGACCCATCCACTAGCTTCACCTGGAGGAGTGAAAACAGTACAGTATAGAAGGAGCAGAATGCCTGTCACCTGACAGACCACCAAGCTAAGGATGTTGGGCTGACAAGGAAGCCTTCACTGCACTTTACGTATGCATCACATATCTCTTTTAGAGAGAGCTGCAAACTTTCCAAATCTTATTCCTTATCTCCAGCACTGGGTCAGAGGAATGGACATGCCTTCACACCCCTTAGGCCTCCTGTTAAACAGGTGACTGAAGAAGCAGAGGTTTCCTTGGCTGGAGAAGCGGAAGTGCTAGGACAGAGGGGTAAGCAGAGTGAGGATTGTGCTCTCCATTGCTGTTCCCTACTTCAGGAGCCTGCAGAGGAAAGGAGGCCCACAGGGGTTTAGCAGCACTTTGCAGAGGAGGGGCATGTGTCTGTCCAGGAGGTTCAGTAGCATGGTTGTTCAGTAGCATGCTCGTGGCATTCCATTCTCATGGTATACATACCTGCCCAAAGAAGGGGATTCCAGGTTTGTAGTGGGAATCTGAATTCTCAAAGGTGATTTTGCTAATGGTGGTTGTGATCTCAGAGAAGCTTGTTCCAGTCAACTCCACTCCTGCAGGAAGAAGCACAAAGAATTAATTTGCCTTTGCCTGACGAGAATTACTTGTCCTCCAGACCAACCCTCCTTTGCTGGATAAGCAATTTCGTTGATGCTTCTGGCCTCCTAGTCGAAAAACTTTGGATTCCAAAAAACCAAGGGTCTGCTTTTCTCCCTCATTCCTCCTTGGCAGGCCCCTCTGCTGGTCTCTTCTGGGATTATTACACAGCTCTTCAATCCAGATGATTCATACCTGTCTCCTCCTCTTTAATCTTAGCCTCCACACGGAGTTTATTCTCGTATCCACTTCTCTTGAGCTGGAATAACTTGGTCTTTACTGTTTCAGACATGCAGCCATAGTTATCTGTCTGTTGGAGGAAAACACACAAGACCATTATAGTCTCATTTAAATAATGTTTATCCAACTTAACAAATCCATCACTGTGTTACTCTGAACTTGAAGAAGAGCCCGTAGCCTCACAGGTCATTCCCTCTGTTTTTATCAAAACTGGAAAAACACATAAATAGCTTGGCAAGGAGCATTTTCAAGTACTTGTGGCAACATAAGAGTAAAGAGTTTGAAACCTAGAAGATTTTTGTGCATGTGTGAAGTTTGAAATTGCAAACACTTGATAGAGAAGCACAGGGAAATACTCAAGTTTGTGCCACACAGGAAATGTTTGTCAGGCATGAGTCACATTGCAATATAGCAACAGACTTAAAATGCACAAGCCATATGAGTGATACAGAAACCAAAGCCTGTGTACATGGAGAAAGAACATGACATCTGGAAAAAAATATTTCCAAAGCTTGCCACCATTCTTCAGTACCTTCATGTACAAGACAAATCTCCACAGAAGAGATGCCTGGGACACAGTGTTTGTATTTTTTTTAACATGGAATACAACAGCAGTGTCAGAGACAATTATGGGTATCCCATTGTAGCAGACCCCTAGGACCATAAGAATGTATTCTCCTTCCTTGCTTGTCCTGGCTTATTTTCACAGTTGCTATCACCCCAGTTTCTCTCAGTTAAGCTTGCACTGTTGCACATGTCCATGCTCCAAACACCATTCAGTTTTGCTCTTGCAGACTTGCCAGTCTGAAGAGTGAAAGAAGTGATATTTTTTTTCTGTCTGGCTTAACCATTGCTGCTACTAAACCTATCTTAATTTCCTTCTTGCTCAAACTGCATCACCCCTCCTCTCATTTTTGCTTCTTTCCTGCTTCTAATACTAACTTCTCATCCCACACAGTGTCTCTAGAGTAAGGCAACTCCAGCTTGGCTGTCATTGCTCATACCTTTTCTATCTGCTCTCTCACACTCTCCACACTCCATCTGACTGGGTTTTTTTGTTTGTTTCTTCTATCTATTCCTTCTCCATCAGCTTCTTGTCTTTATACACACCTTTCTTACCGGACACCCCTTCCCCCTATTTTTTACCTTAACACATTTCATCTCGTACCAAATATTCTCTCCTTCTTCAGGCTTCCTTAAAATACATGGAGTCTCTCCCCTTTTCACACTTTGCTTCTTTATACTCAGAGCAAGCCTGCACCTACAATGCATGCTCAATAAACCACACCTTCTCTTGTCACTCTACCCACAAGAGTAATCATGACTCACCTGCCCAGAGAACTCCTCGCACACTGCTTTAGCCTCTTCGCCATAGCAGGCTGCTGCGTGTTCAAACTTCCGGCAGACACGGAAGCTCACGAGGCCAGGAACAGGCTTCCCAAATGTGTATCTGCCAGCAGGGAGGGTTGAAAGAAAAACAGAGCCATTAGGAATGTAAGACGGATCATCACAGGAAATAAAAAGCAGAAAGAAATTTGGTAACATTTTAGGATCAGGAGCACTGGGTCTTAAAGTCCTGATTGCATCCCTGGGAATAACATACAGGTCTTCAGAATTCATTTACCCTAAGGCTGATTTACTTGAGAGTACCCCTCATCTCGGAGAACATGGTTCAAGTATCTACCCCACAGCCCAGTTCTGATGGAACTGGTTTAAGGATGTATGTGCTCTGGGTCTTTTGGCTTGTTCTTCAGCCCAAGCTGTGGCTCTCTCTGCAGAACGTGTGGGACATTGCTACGTGGAATTGAACAAGATGGTCCAAAGGTAAGAAGGCAATTGCATCACTTACAGTTTCCTCTCAGCAAACACAAGCAGAAACCAGAGTTAAAACATCATTCCCAGGTAAACTAAACTGAAAACTCTAAACTAGATTGTAGCACTGTAGCTGATCAGAAATCCTCTATGACTCAAATAATATGCAACAAAAAAAATCCTGCCTAAAAAACGCAGAATGATATATTTCTACACGTTGCATACAAAGTGCCCCAAGCAATAATTGTTGCCTTTTGTCTAATGGCAGATGTAATCTCTTTGGCCCTGGGACCCCAATAGAAATATAATGAAGTATCATATCTCAGCTTCCCAAGTGGAATTTCAGCAACAGTTGAAGAAAACCTGAAGCCAAGGAGAACTTGAAAGAATGACACTCACAGACCACAAACTGTCACCTTCAGCTTCTCATCAAGAATAGTGATCACCTTGGGCATTTTCACTGTTACTTCGAATTTTGGCAGAACTGCAGCAGAACCAAAGGAAAACAATCAATGTGATGAGGAATAACGTAAGTATGAGACATGAAGACTGCTCAAAGGCTATTCTTACAAATTACCTGAAACCCTTTTGTACCTGACCATTTAGTCAGATTTTAGAAGTTTCTGTCACCTTCACATCCCACTGAAGTCAGTGAAAACTACAGGCACTTAGCCAGTCATTGTGTCAGGTAAGAAGACAGGATTATTACACCAGCTCTTAAAGTACAGCAGCTTCTTAGATAATACATGGGCTATCAGTGCCACAGCAGTAGGATACAGGAAAATAGAGTTAAGTGAGTAGAGGTCTCCCACAAACACACAGAGCTGGGAAAGCAGCCTCATCTCTGTGTTTCTAATGCATGAAGGTCTCACCAATCTGCAAAAGAGGAAGACCCTCAGAGCTTCCCAGGTGACTTAGCACAGGGTGATATCACATCCAAACCGAGCTGCAGGAGGGAAAGTGGATGGTGACTGTGTTGGGAGAAGTAGGAGGGATTCAGGGCACAGGAACAATCTTGACATCTAAAGAGGTCAAAGGACTTCTCAAATCATCTTTGAGGACTCATCTCTGCTGCGTGAGCCAGAGCACGTCAGATCATGTAACAAAAGGCTGGCTTGCTGGGGTGGGAAGCTTTGTTGGTTGTGGCCATGTGCAGGTGTGTACTGGGACACCATTTTCCAGTCAAGCAGATGGAACTGGCATAGGGGTGAGAGCACCAGAGAGGTTACTTCACTAAGGCACCATGAGAGCTACAGGCTTAGCTTGTTGGGGAGGAAAGGCAAGATCTGAGTTTACAGACAGCTCCAGCCTACACCAGAAAGTCAGGGCCTTAGGCAGGGGAGACCTGGACTCACAGCATGACACTTGACAGGTGTGTAGCCAATTGGAAGTGAAGCTGTGCCCTTAAATCATCTCTGAAAAGAGGTGAGGCTTATGGTTGCCCACAAAGACTGATCCAAGCACATTGCTCCTACTGATGGGAGCCTTGCTGAGGTGGGCAGTCGGAAGAGATGCGCCACATGGCCTGAGGCTTAGGGAGGAATGAAGACAGGTTGCTCAAGCCCTTCAGTCTTCACTCCTCAGAAGGAGATGATGCTGGGGAGGGAGAGGACACAGTGACATTTTTCCAGCCATGCCAGGCATCATGGACAGATCTACCATCCTGTTCAATTAAGCTTTCATGCCCCACAGGACTAGTGGTTAGGAACGTGAAACTTCAGCGACAGTTACCATATTCCTCCACAGAGAAGGAATGCTGAATTTTCTTCCCAGAGGCCTTCTCTGCCACCACTGTGTAAGTGCCTTGCGTAGGTTCAGAGGTGAGGTTGAAGGACAGCTGGATTAATCCCCTCTTTAATTCTGCCTTTGTCCACTGGTACAGACGGTTTCTCTTTGGGTCCTACAGATTATGAGATCACAAGGAGATTGTGACACCAGTGGGAGTCTGCAATGAGAACTAAAAAACACTAGCAAAAGCAGTGAGGGAAGGCCCAGCCCCAGTGTTTCATGAGGCTCCAGGGCAGGAGTCGGGGTCACTACCAGAGTTGCGTGAGGAGCCCAGGTTTGGACAACAGAAGGACCTGTAACCTGGCCCCAGAGTACATGGTTGCCACCATATGAGTTACAGCTCTGTATATTCAAATTGATGTAATGGATCTCTTTAATGTCTAAAATAGACAAGAATCATTCTGAGGCAACTGGTAGTTATTCTGCCCAGATTGAGGTGCACTAGATGTGAACATGAATTGAATGTACATACCTCGATATACACCAGTGGAAACTAGAAAAAGAAGAAAGGAAACAGCATATTTAGAGTGCAAGCAATACGGTCAAATGATCAGGACTATGGTCACATTTCAGGAACAAGACGGTCACCCAATGGGATGAGGCTAAAAGTTCCTAGTATGGAACAACAGACTATTTTGAGGTACATCAAGGGGAGGGGGGAATGTCAATCCTTTGTCTCAGGCAGAAAAGTCAGATGAAATTACTAACTCTGGATGATCCACAGTACTAATAAAAGCAGGTGTACCCTGTGATAATGGCAGATTTTCTTGCTGCTGAAGTGTTTATACTAGCACCTTTCATTTGTAGTTTGTCAAACCTTCCCAAGAACGCAGAAGGCAGCTTTATGCAGAAACTTGAAGAGCAGACCCTGTTAACCAGGTGATCTAGGAACTGCACAATTATCTAACTGTACTGAGAGCTCTCCGCAAAAGACACTTTTTTCCTTCTTTTCCCCACATAGATGATTTAAGGCCAAATAACTAGTGAAAAGGAAGTATCATACTTACTACTTCATTCAAGGGATGGAACTCATTATCCAGAGAAACAATTCTGAACAGGACTGATGGAGAAAGACAGATAGTGAGGTTCCACAGTGCAGTCACCAACCAGAACATCAGTTGCAACCAGAATTAACAGAACGCTAGTTGCAAAAATAAATGGTACAACAGTGACCAGGGCTGTTCTCTTTAAAGAAATGCCATTCAGTAGAAAGCCAAGGTTATCCATGTAAAAAATTACATGAATAAGATCCTGTTAAAAGCAAATCCATGGCACTGTGAACATCTTACTGATCATGGCCATCAGAATCTTATTAACTAGGACCAATGTTAAATTTAAGTTGCTTTTCTATGCTTTGCAATGATACATTTTTACATTGGAATTCACATGGGTCTTCTAATTCTTTATTACTAGACTGACTTCTTAGGAAGAATGAATGCAAGCAAATTATTTCAGCACTTGGCTGCTAGCTTGTGTTGGCTGTGGATGGATAGAGAATTCAGTGCCTCTTTTAGGACATTCATTTCTGTGAGGGACAAATTTAGGAGATCAATGGCCCAGAAGAAATAAATAGCTTACATAGATATCTCTGTCTTCATTGTGCAAAATCAGCTGCCTCTCTGAAAGTTTTTCATGACTTAGCCCAAATTTTGGCCCTGTTCTCTATAGGACAAATATCCAGTCTTTCTCTGATTTTAATGCAGATCCTAACTGTACGCACCAAAACAACAGAGACCCCACAGACAGTGTGTGCAGGTGCCCCAGTTACACACATGTATCTTAAGTTTCCCCAAATTGTTCCTGCATGGAGCATTAAAAACATAAACCTCAGCCATGAGGTTGCAGTTCTGACCTCATCTGAAAGCAGTCAACATCCATCCAGCACAATCCAACAGTTTTTGTAGAAGTTTTTGCTTCAAACACAAATCTCCACCCCTTCCCTGGTACCTGTCTGTCCAGGCTTGTAGATGGGTTTGTCTGTCTGGATGAAGACCAAGCTCTCAGAATTCTTGACCAGCACTGACTTGCGACTCCTGAACTGCAGTGTCGCCCCCTTCACAGTCACAGTGATAAACGTGACTGATGACTGGCTATTTGATTTTGGAACCTGGAGAATAAGAAGGCAACTATGTTACAGACCACCTTAAAAGGCTTCCTGAACTGAACTGGCCATCGAAAAATCAGAAGTATAGTCCTGATCGATCCAACGCAGAGGTGAGGGGAACTATCATCTGGAACAAGAGACTGATCTTTAATTGGCTCATTCCTAGTGATTATACAAGTATTGTGCAACAAAGGAACTCCCAGCTCTGCCACCCAATTTTAAGAAATTCTTACTGTCCTGACCAAAACCTTTCTGTCCTTTTCCTTTTAGCATTTGCAGGGGCAACAGGATAATGCCCCTTCTCTTTCAGGTAATGTCCTTAGTCCTTGCAGAACATTTCCTTTTCCAAACCAGACATGCCAGATGGCTATACAGCTCTCTCCAGGTGAGAAAACTCAGTCTTCAGCCTATACCTGACAATCCCAGACATGAATGCCAACCTGTTTAGTGTCCTGAAGGTGATTCTTCAGCCTTTGGTTTGAAGATATAGTCTATGCTCTGAATCAGATAACTGGTTGTCTACAACTTGTTATAGTCCCTGGGGCTATCAGTTACATTAAGCTATGAATTTCCTGCTTCACTCTCTTTTTCAGACACAGGCAATCACAGCTCTATGTTCTTACATTAGTTCAGTGTACTATATCCACAAGGTAAAGACTATCTAATGTCCAAAAGCTCTGCCCTAATTTGAAGGCACTCAAGTAACAATCTGTGGCTGTTGAAGCATGATAAGAACCATTTGAAGAAGCTGCTCACCAAACAGCTATCAGGAGCAGTCAATATTGAAACTGCTTCTTTCTCCTAGCCTCTTGTCTTATTATAGAGATGGGCTGGCTTTCCAGGATTCAGCATTTCCCATTCAGATAGCATGCTAAGAAGGTCTCAGCAGTGAGAGGGTGTTGTGGATGGGCATGAACATAGCTATGACCAAGAGGGAAGTGAATACCTACACATTGTTACTCTGGTCATTACTATTCAGTGCCCTTATGGTTTTTCCCTGGCACAAGGGATCATCCCACAAGGATGAGATACTCACAAAGAAAGGGATGCAGGTGAACACGTCCTTCTCCGACACCACATCATCAATCAAGCTCCTGTTTTCCCCTTGATACTCAAGCACAGCACTCAGTGTCACAGATTCATTCAGGTGGGTCAGCTGAACACAGACTTTCTCAGCAGAATCAGTTTGTATCAGAAAGGGCAGCAGCACCATATATTGCCTAGGAATAGGGAAGAAGGACAGGTCGGATGAGCAGGAACAGGTAACAGGAACTGTACAGAAAGAACAAATAAATCAATCTGATTACTACAGCCTTCACTGTACAGGGAGAGAGGTGCATTCTCTAGGAGTGTAACAAGACTTCCAGCATGTCTGCAACAGCAGCGGAAAACAGAGAGACCACTCTCAAAATTAAAATACCACAGGAAACACTCAATGCAAACGTCTGGAAGGAATATGATTTTCTGGGTTCTGGCACAACAGAGCACTTCCTCCTTGCACCCTGAATAATCCCAATGTCGAACTTTTGCTGCACACTTTTAGTAGGACTCAGGAGCCACACAAGTCCCAATACCTGTTGAATAAAAGCTATTGACTACGTGCTGCAAGCCTTCTGTAGCATTACTCCCATTCCTCGCAGAGACCCAAAACTGCCACATCGTGGTGCCAGATCTTAAGCAAAAAGACTGAAGCAAATTTCAGGTTTTCAGGGAAGTAAGCCCCTCTGTCTCAGCCCAAGCAGTGGGGCCCTGCTTGACCCTAAGTAGCCTCTCTCCCAGCAGAGCAACTTGCCGGTGGTGTCCTGCTGCCCATCTCTGCATCTAGGAACCAAACCTGATCTGCCTAATGGCAACAGTGCTGCCTTTTTGTTGGGCAAGGAATGATCTCTGACAGGCATCCCTAGAGCAGTTAGCAGGTGGGAGAAGAGCTGTGGGCACCTCAGGAGTAGGGGAGGTCATTCCCTTTAGTGGTAGGGGAGGCTCTGGCACCTTTATGTCCTTCATTTGGTCTGCAGGGAGGAAACTCTGGGCCCTCAGATCCCAACCCTGCTGTCTGCTTACCCTGCATTTAATGAAAGCACTGCAGCACAGCCTTGCTGTGATAGGGAGGAAAAAAACATTTCCAAAAAGCCAAAGGAGAAAGTGTCTGGGATGTTAGTACCCCTCATGCGCTGTTCCTGCCATGTATACACACACATGCACACAACACACACTCCCTTCACATACAAGCAGGGCAAAAAGAGGATGAAGAAGGGATGCAGAACAGCACATCCTCATGGACCTTAACAGTCGCAGTCTTACAGTGTCACATAACCCTGGCTGAGAAGGGAATTTTCATTCCACTGGCTGAGCTGAAAAATGTGAATTAAAAAATAAAGTCATTTCTAGTCATGCCAGATCTGTTACTTGTTCCTTTTTTTCTCATTATCAGTCAAAAAGCCACTTTTATCTCATGGGTGTTTCAACCTAGGAGTAGGGTAGTCAACCCATAATAAAACCTTTCATTGTCTTTTCAGAAAAGTCTGTCTCTTGAGAAAAAAGAAATGTGTAAACAGTTATAAAAAGTTGACTTCCAAAAGAACCAGTTTTGTGCAGACAATTTTGTTGAAATACTGTCAATTCACTGAAGCAGCAAAAGGTATTCTCATAGACCTTTCCCTCTCTTTTTTTCTTTCTATTTTTTTCCTGAAGTTCTACTAATATCTCGATTTCAGAGACTGTTTAGGTCTCCCTAAAGTACTAGAGCTGCTGTTTGTAGAAGAGACTTTACCCAGCCCTGCTGTCTTTATTCCTGCGTAAAAGAAAGTAGGCAGAAGATAAGAGATAAAGCAACAGACACAGGAATACAACCCAGGTCTCCTGCCTGCCCGGAGACCCCCCCTGCATAGCTTACGGCTCTGTGGTGGGTGAGGTGTCTCCATGAGGGAAGAAGAGGAGAAAGAGGAAGATGGTTGGTTTGATGAGCGGCCTGTCCTTCCCCATGGTGCAGAGCAGGATATGACGAAGCAAGCAGACACCCAGCCTGGTCCGGTGCTGCTTGTACTCCCCCTCTGCTCTCCGAGTCAACCGCTTTATACTCTCTTCTGCAAACAGCCCAGGGGCTGGAGGAGATAAGGGCTGGGGGCCAGGACCCATCCGGAAACAGGGAGAGGCAGTAAGGAGGAGCTGGAACTAGCAGCTCCGATTCTGGGCAGAAGGCCAGGTGCTGGCGGGGAAGAGGGAGGGGAGAGTGCCCAGCAGGCTGGAGCTGTCTGTCTTTTGGGGCAGGACAGTAGGCAACAGAGGAGGAAAGGTGGTAGCTAAAGAGAAGAGGGCTAGCAGCAAGGGATGAGGGGAAGGCCTTCATTTCTGGTAGGGTTCCCTATATGGAGCTGGCCACAGCACTGGTCACAGAGCTGCTGGAGGAGCAGTTTGATTTTCTTCAAACTGGAAGCAGGAGATTGAGCTAGGGTTTGGGAAACAAGAGTGGGCATGCTTAACATCCATTTACGGGCAAGATCTGAAAACAGAGAACACAAATTCTGAAAAATCTTCCCCCTCCACCCACTCTGCTCCCTTGTGCTTTCCATTCCCGGTTCCACCAGGGCTAATGCCAGGAAAAGGGGCCAGAGAGTGCCTGGACAATCAAGTTGTCCAAGATAATCTGGCCTTCACCCTAACAGCAACAGGGACAGTGACATGATGGGAAGCTGCCAAAAGTTCAACCCATTAACAGCATGTTACACATTAACTAGTTCCACAGAACAGACGTGGCCTGGATCTTGCTTTGTCTGTACTGGTTCTTGCTCCAGGTCAAGCTGTTGGCATATCCAGATCAAATTATTGCTGTTTGATGGAGTCCTTCCTTGTTTCATTATGTGAAAAGCCACAGAATGCACTGTGATGGTCGATGTTGTATCACAAAGGGAAATTTCTTTTTGACCATGGTCTTTACTGTAGTACCTCGGTCTGCAGCAGTAGGGTCAATAGCTCTGGTAATTATTACCCTTGCAAGCAACAATATAGTATCTGTCTTGCTTGTAGTCCTAACCCAAACTCCAAAGAATGGCTATCTGTTAGAGGACATAAAGCATAATTTTGGGATTAAAAAGTGCAGGAAAAAATTATTATCTGTCTGTACTTCCTCTCTCCTGCTATCATCATCAGAAGTTTGGTAAGCTCAGGAACTTTGGATTTAAGAAATCCAAGTGCCATGAGATAACAAACCTTCACTACAGACCTTGTTCTGCCCTGCAGTGACCTGCATGGGAAAGGAGAGGATAGTAGTGCATGTCCAATTTCCTTGGGGATTGCACAAAAGACAGCGTAGGCTTGGGTTCTGCCTTCTCCATCTGATGCCTAAAGGTTGCTCTGTTTGCCCAAAGGAAATATAACCCAGGAAAATCTGCCTCATCTGCAGAGAAGAGGATTTGTACATGGGATGGTCAAAGCCTTTATGAAGATAACTGTTTATGTTGGTTCAAACAGGTCAGGAGCTGGACTGACTGAACACAAATCTTACAGGAAAGAGATGCAGGAGTGCACACAACAGGAGAATTATAGAGTCATAGAATCATTAAGGTTGGAAAAGATCTCTGAGAACATCTAGTCCAAGTGTCTATGCAACACTATCATGACCACTAAACTATATCTTGAAGTGCCATGTCTGTATGTCTTTTTAACACCTCCAGGGATGGCGACTCCACCACTTCTCTGGGCAGCCTGTTTTAATGCCCCACCACTCTTTCAGTAAAGAAATTTTTCCTACTATCTAATCTAAAGCTCCTCTGGTTCAGTTTGAGGCCATTTCCTCTTGTCCTATTGCTAGTAACTTGGGAGAAGAGACCAACCCCCATCTCACTACAACCTCCTTTAAGGTAGTTGAAGAAAGCTGCAGGAAGCTAGGGCTACTCTTTTTGGTGAATAGCCAAACAGCTCACGCTGATGAAAAGCTAGCTTCTGGTCATTAAGACCTTGGTCAAAAACATAGTGTGAAGCCAAAAACTGAAAAGAAATGCTTTCAGTCAGTTGAGGGGAGCAAGATTTGAAGGCCTGAGAATCCCAGTAGGTACCAGTGGATGTGTACAGATACCTGACTTTTAAAATCTCCCCTCAATCTGCTTGGCTTCTATCCCCTTCCCAATAGCAACTTGAGCCCCAACAGCCTAATTTCAAGGGTCTCTGCATAGCCCATATGATTAAGCTTGTAGGTGAGGTCACAGAGAATGTAGCGGCAATGAGTTTTCCCTCTCTTTCCTGCCATTTCTGCCTGCTATGAGTACAACTGAGGTGGCCAACTGGCTTTCTAGAGCTTTTTGGCTAGAATTTAAGTGGTTAACTCGAAGCTCCTGCAAGATGTTGGCCTATCCATGGGAAGAGTGTGTTTTAGTATTACCTTTACTGGGTTTCCCTCAGTGAATCTGAATTTCTATCTTTCGGCATAGCTTAAAGGGACAGATGCCCAAAATGTGCAAAAAAGAGCATTAAGTATCCTGTATCTGAAGTGAGAATCCCACTGCATTCGTTAATAGCATCACAGAAGTGCTGTTTGGAAGGGAGTTCTGGAAGTTGTCTAGTCCATCCTTTCACTTAAAGCAGAACTGCTGCCAATGCTGTCAGCTGTGACTTTGTCAAGTAAAACCTTGAAAACTTCCAAGGATGGAGAACCTACTATTTCTCCAGTGATCTCTTCCAGTGTTGCACCACTTTCTGGTGAAGAAGTCTTTCTTGAACTCCACGAGCTGCAGTTGAAGCCATTGTCCCATCTTATATCTTCTGCCTCTATGAAGAAACATCATGTTCCAACATCCTTGTTGCTGCCTTTCAAGTATTTGTAGGCAGTTATTTAATCACTCCAACCTCCTCTCGGTCAGATCAAACAAGCCCAGCTCCCCCTGTCACTGCCTGTGGATCACATACTCCAGTTTGGTAGTCCTCTATTAGACCCTCTACAGCTTCTCCACGTTCCTCTTGAACTGGAGATCAGCAGACCAGACAGTCCTAGTGCAGTCTTGGAAATGCTATGGAGTAGGATGATTGTGACTTTACCTCAGTTTGCTAGCCACGGTCCTCCAGTATTCATTGGTTGCTGCTTACAGAGTTCATCCAAAACATGCTTTCAAGAAAATTAGTATATATCAATCAGCTATATCAACATGTTCTAGATAAGTTAAAAGCTCTGTCAGAGATATTTGTACAACTGCTTTTCAAGGAAATGAAGGTACCTGCTTCAAATCACTTTTGTATTGCAAAAACTTGAACCCAAAGAGGAGCCATGCGCATTGTTAAAAATAAAATCTGTAGATGAATACCCCTTCCCTTCAAAGAACAGTCAACTTTTGAGGCAACCTAATGTATTTGTTTATTTTACATTTCCTGAGCCATCTCTTTGGGATGAAATTGAGAGGCCATGTTTGAAGAATCAAAAGTTAAAATAGCCTAGTATGTACTGTGCTGAAAAATCCTAGGGGAAGCAAAGCCATTGCACTATTCACAAAGTAAACCAGATAAGCTGAGAGACATGCTCCCCTCCCCTACACACATCCTGATAACATGAGAAGTTGTTTCTTCACTGGAGTTGTCTGTTAAATTCTGCTAGGCTTCTTTCTGTAGATGCTACCACCATTTTGACAAAGTAGGTGAAGTCTCCAGCATTGTTTCAGAGGGCCTGGCAACTTTCTAGGAGTGAGGGACAGCATCTTCTTCTGACAGTTGAATGAATTCTGGCACAGACAAAATGACTCATCAAGAGTAACCCAGACAACAGAAAATGAAAACTCAAAGTTTTTAGCTCCTAGTACATTGTTTAAAATACTCTGGTCTTCTCGTGGCTTTCCCAGGTCTGACTGAAAGGCAGACCTACCCTTGCTGGGAACATTCCCACCTTAAGCCTCTCAGCTCAGTGAACTCTGTATCAGGCTCAGCAGACATCCACTTAGCTCAGTATGCTGCAGTCTGAATTTTCGTCCTCATCTCCCTAATACCTTCATGTGTTACATCATCTATGAATGTCAAGCCTCACATATCAAGGACATGCAATTGAAGGCATTCTGTAAATGGCACTGTGAGGGATCTGCTGTTGAGTTATAACTATATTGCTCAAAATAGCATGAAACTACTTCTTTCAACCAGGGGATGCAAAGACAGTTTCAATTATTTGAAAATAAATTTGCTGGGGGGGAACAGCAATTTTCTTTTTGTAAACAAGGTCTTGTTTCTCTTTTCTCCATGATACCATGGTTGTTCATAGTGCTTATTTACATGCGACACAGTAGCATCAATTCCAATAACAATCACTTCTAACTTATTTGTAATCCTCCTTGTGAATGCCTGATGTAGCATTTTCAGATGAAACCTCCAGTACTTGGGTCGGTTAGTTTCTCCCTAGCCCTTCCCTGCCATGCACCATGATGCCTAGTTCTTTACTTCCATGATCTCTTAATTTCTGTCTGTCTTTCAGACTTGTGTCCTCAACCTCATCTCCCCACAACTCTCCTTCTTATCCACCCACCTGTTTCTACCCAAAGTGCCTTCCTTGTCCTTATGTTTAGCAGATATCTCACAGAATCACAGAGCAGTTGAGCTTGGAAGGGGCCTCTTGAAGTCATCTGGTCCAACTCCCCTGCTCAAGCAGGGCCACCTACAACCAGTAGCCTAGGACAACATCCAGAGACCTTTTGAATAGCCCCAAGCATGAAGACCCCCGCAATCTCTGGTTAAGATGCAGCAGTGACCAAACACCCTCACAGTAAAAGTGTTCCCTGATGTTCAGAGAGAACCTCCTGTGTTTCAGTTTGTGCCCACTGCCTCTGGTCCTGTCACTGGGCACCACTGAACAGAGCCTGGCTCTGTACCCTGCCTTCCGGTGCATTATATATATTTATATAGTATATATACATTAAGAAGATCTCCCCTTAGCCTTCTGTTCTCTGGAATAAACTTTCCCAGCTGTCTCAGCCTCTCATAGGAGAGATGCTCCAGTCCTTTCTTCGTCTTTGTGGTTCTTCATTGGACTCTCCGGTATGTCCAAGTACCTTTCATACTAGGGAGTCCAGAACTGGACACAGTACTCCAGGTGTGGCCTCACCAGCGCTGAGTAGAGGGCAAGGATCACCTCGCTTGACTTGCTGGCACCGCTCTGCCTAATGCAGCTCAGGATACCACTCACCTCCTTTGCAGTGAGGCCACATCGCTTGCTGATGTTCATCTTGGTGTCCACCAAGACCCTCAGGTCCTTTTCTGCAAAGCTTCTTTCCAGCTAGGTCACCCCCAGCATATACTGGAACGTAATGTGAATATACTAGGATAAATAGGATAAATCAGAAGTTAATAAAATTTTTCTTCCTTTGTTGGAATAAAATCTCTGTGTGGGAAAAAAGAGTTTTCCAGGTGTGTGGAAATGCAACCTACTGTCCCACCACTAACGTTCACTGTTTTTTTGTGCTGTCCACACTCTTAGCCTGTCTCTGCTCTATTTGAACTTAAAGCTCCTTGTAGTAAAGATTTGTCTACTGCTTCCTCTCTCTGCAAAAAACTGCAGAGGTGGAGAGGGAAACATGTTCTTGGTTGATTCAATAATAACACACAATTAATTGTATTCCTTTGATTTCAGAAGTCCAGCTCTATGACTACATTGAATTTGGCCTCTAAAACATGGCATGAGGCTGGTTCCTTCCAACAGAGAGAAGTAATGGCATGGGTGCACACTTTTGGTTCAATGCAGTACTGGAGGTTTATTTTCACTGCTAGATTTACAGAAGTAGTAGTCTCATTTCAGCCTCTTGTCTTGCACTCACAGCCCTGTGGAGGTGAAATCTGATGCTTGATAATGGAGGAAATTGGCCAGCTCACTTCAGAAATCTGAAGACTCAGCGTCTGTTGTGACAAAAATGGTGTTTGCCCTTGTAGGACAAATAAAGAAAGACTAGGGGAAGGAGTATGTCCCAGGTCTTATCTGGTCAAATATTAGTCCAACACATGTAGACTGAGAATGAGTGTACTGCTGAGGATAACTCACCCTATGGGCAAAAAAACCTGTCCCTGCAAAACACCTTCATGAGTGTGTGGAAAGGGAAAGTCCTTGGTCTTGCACAGAGCTTTGGTTTGCAGGACAGTGATCCACTTCTAGCACTGATGAGATGATTATGAGATGAAAATACTCAGGGGATTTATCTAAGAGATTTCTCACAGATCCATGGAGCGTTATGTTCACAGCTGGAGGCCCGAAAGATGTCTTTCATCAGGACAGCACAGTGTTGCACAGGGCTGTTAGAGGAAATCCTGCAAGAGACACAGAACAAAAGTGAGGCCAAGAGAAAATGCTGAGATTATCTCCTAAAGATAAGAAAGAAAAAACATCTGATTTTGAAGGGCGGAGCCCAGAGGAAGTAAAAGAACCCAACCTCCAAAGGGCAGCTGTTAGAAAACAAAATGTACAACAAAAAAACCTATCTACCTGGAGATTACACATCTAAGTAATTTCACCACCATGGAACCCAAATCAGAACCAGACATACATACAAATCCATGCGGTGGCAGTGATACCCATCAGCATGAGAACGGCAGTGCTGAGAGTTTCATGGAAATATGATCATCTCCAAGGAGTTTGTAAGAACAGAAAGCTGGATTTAAGAAGCGAACTAAGCCAAGTGCTTAGAGTACTGAGTGAGATCTTGGGCAAGTTTCCTTGCTGTGGAAGTGTGAGATGAGACTAACTCATCGTCTTAACTCTCATAAAAAGGAAAGGGCCGGGCAAAGTCACTGGACCAAATCATGCCTTCCCTCATGAGAATGCTGAGCCAAAATAAAGGTTCTGACTTGGGCTGGCACTTGTGAAGCAGCAAAGAGCTAGGTCCTCACACCCAATGACACCAGCACCAGGCAGAATGGGTGCAAGGGGGCTACACCAGTGGATGGACCTCTTCTCACTGAGCAACTGTGTAGGCAGTGCAAACAAATATTCCATGGTCTGGAGGGAAGTAGAGATTAAAACACTAACATTGGCCCTGTTTTTCACAGATAGATGCCGTTACAAGGTGCAGGACAATAAAAAGTAGGCTCTTTCAAGTTCAGTGCCATACAGGTGGCGGTAAGAAGAAAATCTGCCCAAGAAAAAGCTCCTGAGATCTAGTATAGGAACACCAATCAATCCGAATCAGAACTGAACTCACTTGGTACCACTGAGTATAGAGCCATCTTCCCAAATCCAGACAGAGCCTGTGCTGTTCTTCAGTCCAATCCAGAAACATTCTGTCTTAATACTCTTGAACAGGTCCTAGAAAAGGTGATGAATTATAGTGACTAACAAAAGACAGTCTAAAAATGGAGGTAAGGATAAATAAAGAGAACAAAAAGTAAGATACTGACTGTTCTTTAAGAGACTTGACAGTACATGTTTCTTCACACCTCCTAATCAGGAAGATTAGCCCTGCAGATCAGGCCTGGAATAACAACTATGTGTACGCTCACAAGGAAATAAACACTTTCACGGGTCCTGGGCAGTTTCTTCAAAGGACATTTCTCAGGGCAATATGTGCAAACCAACAGCACTTCAGTCTCCTGGAGTTTCCTACACAGAACTTTATGGAAGGAATATATGCTTTATGGTAGGAATATATGCTATTAGTATTAATATTAACAATCTACTATACAGCTAGCTAGCAAGCTACTACAAAATATTAACAATTAAAGGTAAAATCAGGTCAGGGCAGAAGGTGCAGGCACTGACAGATATGTGTAAAGAGCCCAGGAACAAAGCTCATTACATTCTATACAAACTTTCCTCCTACGTGTTCTCAGTGTTCATTTCCTCTTGCCTAACCTTACACTCCTGTGGACAAGTTTGTCTTGTCCACATTTGCAATAAAACCAAACAGCTGCAAGCTTTCAGCAGCCTAGTTGGGCCCCATACTTATCTCCTACTGCCCTAAACAAAGCTTCAGAGTAGACATTTTCACACAGAAGCTTTAAAAAAGCAGCCTTGGGAAAGTGGTGGGAATAGGAGTAGCTTGAGGAACGCTTCAGTGTTGCTGGTGGTTTGGAGGTGACTGTGCTTCCCTGGCAAAGGGAGGCAGAACAATCTCAGCCTTTGCAGCACGGGCCATGGATAGAGAGAGGTAGGAAAGTCTTGCTTATGTGGGGCAGTCTGAGCAGGAATAAGGGGTAATGCTCTAGTAGCAGAGATAGTAGTATGAAAGTAGATGGACCAGGGAGGCTTTCTTCATGCAGAAAGATGGGTATTTCCCAAGGAATCAGAACTTGCCTAAGCAAGTGTGAGAGCCTGGTATATACTCCCAGTCGAGCAGAGACCTGGCTTTGTAAGTCCCCACAGAACATCATACAATGCACCTTCTGTCCAGGGACTGGAAGCTGTCCACGTTCATTGGACCTGCGCTAATAGGCTCTGGCTTGCGCAAAACCAGAACAAGTACTTCTGCTTTACTTAGGTAGATGTGCCTCACCTCCCTGGTGACCAGCAATGTCCATTTCTTCAGTGGTCACACATTCCCCTGCCCCTGGTGAGCACCTGCTGAAAAATGAGCAGCAGAACAGAAGGTTTCTGAGGTTTTTTGGCAGAGAGAGGAAGTAAGCGTTGAAAACAAACTGAGAAAGAACTATCTGTGCATGAAGACAGGGAGTGGCAAGGGTCACTGAGCAGGAGGAGCTGGAGTGGCTGCAGAGAGGAGAGGCATCACTCTTGCAAAGGAGAGTGGGGACGTATTGCTTTGTAGACAATCAATACAGAGAGCGTGCAGTGCCACCGTTTTTTCCCGCAGTCATTCAAATCAGCCTTATCAGAGATAGGAGAAGAGGTTGAGGGGGCAGTGGAGAAGGCTGGCTCCTATATCCTTCATAGGATGACTCTAAGTAGCTGACAGGGACACTCACCTCTTCCTTCTCCCCTTTGTGTCTTTGCCTGTGGGGAACTTCTAGGGCATATACTGAAACTGGAAGTGCACTACAATGCTGCAGCCGTAAACCCTTCCTCTCCTTTAAAGTCAAAATATTGCCAGAGTGACAGCACTGCAGGGATGTTTGTCACTGAGGTGTCTGCAAGGAAATGGAAGATCCTCAAAGAGTAAGCAAATCATTACCATTTCGCTGTCATCACTGATCACCAGGAGATGAGCTCCCTGTGCCTGGCAGGATTGCTGACTGGAATTCCAGTCCTTCTTCTCCTTGGAGAAGGAGTAGCAGCTCCCTCTGTAGGCCACCCACTGCTGAGGGCAGTGTGGGTGGGAGTCACCTGTAAAGGAATCAAAATATCAGCTCTTCTCTACCATTAAACAACATAAAGACACTTGTCAGCAAGAACCTGCTGAAAAGCAGCTCTTCTGGATAGTCGCAATGCCGAAAACACAAGCATCTAAAAATAACAATGCACAAACACTGAACTTCAGATCCTTTGTGTAATTTCTGAATCTTCGTACAAAAGTCATGTGCACTCAGATCCTGGTGCAACTCCCCCCGCTCTGGGTTTCCTCTGAACTACTCAGATACCTGTGAACCCAAATTGGCTCTCTGAAAGCAGATGACACTGGGTGTGCAAAAAGTCAGGGAAAAAATTATGTCATTTTGTTTGTACAGTATGATCATGTCACCACAAACAGTAAGCTCTCGCACATGGTCTAGCACCTTCTGCATGCATGCAGAAGTGTTGTAGACCTTGCATATTTGTTCCATAGTTTACTGCTATAACTACAGCAGACAAGTCTAAAAAAATCTTTCAGTATGTTTCACTGCTCTTTATCACAGCATCTGAAGTGGGTTGCCTGGGGTCTGCACAAAGAATATATTCCTCAGAATATTCTAGATAACCAGTAGGTACTTAAGGCTGGTAGAAACCTATAATAGCTTCTAGTTTAACCAGAAATTTAGATGTGCTTAGATAATTCTCTGGTCCTTTGCTGTTGATTGTTCATCTTTCAGCACCGCTTTGTGCACTTACTCATCTTCCAAATCAAAGCAATTGTTAGAGAGATGCTCAGTATCCCAAAGCCTATAGCCAAGCCTGGCATAACTGCTGGCCACTGACAGGGAGCTGTAAAAGAGAAAAGAAACCACAGTGAACAGGAGCCACATGAATGCTGATGGTGGTTTTACATAGCTTGGTTGTGCCCTGGGTATTTCCATCAGGAACCAAACCATTTAGAGCACTCCTCTCTGTCCATAATGTGCACGTCACTGCCGTCACTGTCTCTGCCCAGCCTCCCTGGGCCCTCCCTATGCCCCTGCCCATAGTCCCAGGGCCCCATTTCAGTTGGGCTCAGGGCTGCCAGTCCTTGCCTGAGCGTCACAAGAGGTGAGCTACCTCCAGGTCAGCCACAGCTCTGCCCCTGCCTGGCCACTAGCAGAAGGTAAGTCCTTGGGGCAATCTCCACAGCTTCCTTTCAAAGGAGGGAGCCAGGACTGCCATTTAGAGATCTGCTCATGTACAGCCGAGGTGTTAACCTCTGGGCTACATCTTGTTTACTTGTTGTCGTTTCCTGGAGCTATGTTTGAGTGAAGAGGCATTTGCTTTCCTTAAGACATCTGAAATTTCAGCACTAAAATCTCTGCTTTCCCAGGTTGACAAGAGGATGACATTGCCATGGTTGAGCTCCAGGGTGGTTTAGTTTACTTATTTTATTAATCTCAGTACGAGAGCTGCACAGACAGCAGGACTTTCTAAGAGGCATTAAATGTGCAGCTAATGGTTACTGATGTTGAGGAACCTAGGATTTCCCTGTGTTGCTCCCTTAAGCTTATGTACCACATCCTACTCTTGTGGTGCTCCTGAATCTGCTACCCAAGTCCAGTCACCAGTGGAGCTCATAATATCTGAGGTTCTTTTCTCTTAGTCGTGTCATGAGACACAAAGAAACATATTTGTACTCCAAAAAAAGGCTAGGAGTCTAATCACAGGATCATAGAACCATTAAGGTTGGAACAGAACTCTAAGATCATCAAGTTCAGCCATCAACCCAACAACACCATGACCACTGAACTATATCCTGAAGTGCCACATCTACATGTTTTTTGAACACCTCCAGGGCTGGTGACTCCACCACTTCCCTAGACAGCCTGTTCCAGTGCTTCACCACTCTTTCAGTACAGAATTTTTTCCTAATACCTAATCTAAACCTCCCCTGGTTCAACTTGAGGCCATTTCCTCTTGTTCTATCATTAGTAACTTGGGACAAGAGACCAGTACCCACCTCACTACAACCTCCTTTAAGGTAGTTGTAGAGATGAATGAGGTCTCTTCTCAGCCTCCTCTGCTCCAAATTAATCCCAGCTCTAGTCCTGCTGGACACACTATTCCTGATACAGGCCAGGATGCCGTTGGCCTTCTTGGCCACCCGGGCTCACTGCTGGCTCATGTTCAGCCGGCTGTCCACTAACACCCCCAGGTCCTTTTCCGCCAGGCAGCTTTCCAGACACTCCTCCCCAAGCCTCTAGTAGTGTCTGGGGTTGTTGTGACCCCAGTGCAGGACCTGGCACTTGGTCTTGTTGAACCTTATACAACTGGCCTTGGCCCACTGATCCAGCCTGTCCAGGACCCTTTGCAGAGCCTCCCTACTCTCAAGCAGATCAACACTCATGCTCAACTTGGTGTCATCTGCAAATTTACTGAGGGTCCACTTGATCCCCTCACCTAGATTATTGATATAGATATTAAACAAGACTTGCCCCAAATCTGAGCCCTGAGGGACACCACTTGTGACCGGACGCCAACTGGATTTAACTCCATTTACCATGACTCTCTGGGCTTGGCCATTCAGCCAGTTCTTAACCCAGCAAAGAGCACACCTGTCTAAGCCATGAGCCACCAGCTTCTTGAGCAGAATACTGTGGGAGACAGTGCCAAAGTCTTTACAAAAGTCCAAGGAGACAATATCCACAGCCTTTCCTTCATAAGTAATAAGATGAAGGAAGAGGAAGACTAGCTTTAAGCAAAAACAGTACCACAGCAAGCATATTGGAAGTTTGGTGGAAGAAGGGCTGCGAGCAGGATTTCATAGCAATAGGATGCAAAATAAACAGGGAAGACAGAGGGGGCTATTCTCTGCTCAAGTAAAATTACAGTCAAATTAGCTTAAATAACTAACTGCTTCAAGAAGTAACAGTAACAGCATCCCCACAGACCAGGCAAATGCTACTAAATGTATAGGGTTGGAGTTACATTGTGGACTGCCAGACAAGGATAGTAGCAGCACTCATGAACTGGCAAAAAAAACCCAGAGCTACTGTGAAGGAAGTGCAGTGATGACACGTGTCAATTAATTGCATTAAATTAGACAAATGCCATGTCAGGGCATGATGCTGAGACTGAATGCTCAGACACCATCAACAAGCACCTCATGGAGCGGCGAGCCAGGAAACACAGAAAGCAAAGCAGCTCGTGACCGCCCTGAGCCCTGCTCAGGCCACCCATGAGCTCCATCCAGCAGCTTCTCTGCCGCAGTGAACACAAATGCACTGAAATTCAATAGAGGCAAACAGCAACAGCAACAAATGGCACTGTGGTATAATCATTTCAAAATGGGAAGCTACAGGAAAATGAGGAAACTTGTCAGGGAGAAATAAAAAGGGAAGGCCAAAAGAATAAAATAATTGCAAGCAGCAGAGGAAACTTTTTTCAGGATCTGTTGGTGGAAGCTGAAAACAAATGCACATCACGTATCAAGAATATTGTGGGAAGGACAAAGAAAGCCAGCACTAAAACAGAGCGGGGAGGGACTTCACTTAGAAACAAGAATGAATCCCTTAATTGTTGGAAGTTTTGTCCAAACACAGAAAGTAGAACAGATCGATAAATCAATAAAAAATCATTTATTTTGATCTTAGAGCGGTTTGCAGGCTCACCAGTTTTAAGACCAGTTTCTGGTTTATAGAAATATATTTAGACCCACAGTTTTGGCTAAAAGAAGTTTCTAAGGTAACGAGGGAGAGCATGAGGGAGCTTCGTAAGAACCATTCTTCTCATAGAAAGAGCCTTCCTGATGTAAAGGCTTTGTCATGTTTCCTGCGGCATCTTCTGAAGTACTGCATTCAGTTTTGCGGTCCCCAATACAAAAAGGACATAGACTTGTTGGAGCAAGTCCAGAGAAGGGCCACAAAGACGATCAGGGGCCTGGAGCACCTCCCCTCTGAGGACAGGCTGAGACAGTTGGAGTTGCTCAGCCCGCAGAAGAGAAGGCTCCGGGGAGACCTTACAGCAGCCTTCCAGTAACTGAAGGGGGCCTGCAGGAAAGCTGGGGAGGGACCGTTCGCAAGGGCATGTAGTGACAGGATGAGGTGCAATGGTTTAAAACTAGGACAGGGTAGACTTAGATTAGAGATTAGGACAAAGTTCTTTGCTAAGAGGGTGGTGAGGCACTGGAACAGGTTGCCCAGGGAAGGTGTGGATGCCCCCTCTATGGAAGTGTTTGGCTGGATGGGGCTTTGAGCAACCTGGTCTAGTGGGAAGTGTCCCTGCTCAGGGCACGGGGGTTGGAACTAGAAGAACTTCAAGGTCACTTCTAACCCAAACCATTCATTGATCCTATGATTCTAGCTGCCCACCTCTAGTTTAAAAATAACAATATTTATTCATTGTTTTAAACATTATTAAACAATAAATCCCACCTCTCTTCAAGTACAAAACACAGAAAGACTTTTCAGTTACAACCTACTCCTCAGCTTCACGCAGGAGGACAATGGAGAACTGCAGGATATGAACTGAGTAGCTGCTTTCTCTGCCTGCTCTCTATTCCTCTTGTAAGGTCACTTTTGCATCTCTGGAGACTGGGGGTTTTGCCATCAGATTTTTAAGCCTCAAGAGAATGGAGTCAGCCAGAGGTTAAGGGGTAGGGTGGAGCTGCTTCTCTGCAGATTAAAACTAAGTAAAACAGGATAAATATTTGTTGAAACCTAATTCTTCGTTCTGATACCCCATTTCTGACAGTTTGCACTTTGTTTTCTTTCCTCTCTTGCCTCTCAAAGGAGCTACCTCCCACATCCTCTAGATCGCTGTTCCTGATTTTGGGGGAAACTACTTCCAGAACAAGGCAACTGGGATGACATTCAGTGAAACGGTTAATCCTTAAACGTCAGCACCGGGCACCCGAGCTGGTGCCTCCTGGCAATGAATAGAGCAGTTCACCCTCTGTTGTTTCAAAACAACTGCAGAAAAAAGGAACTGACTCAACTCAGTATCGAAACAAAATCCAGGGCACATCCACAACCAGGGCAGTGGGAGAGTTCACTTCAGTTCTTAAAAATGAAAAATTATGCCATTAGATAATTTTGGGAGGAAAAAAAAATGAAGTGAGAAAGTCATATTGAAATGTTCAAGGTGAATTTAAGCCTCACTTGAACTGCAGTGGTCAGTCCAGCAAAGAGGAATTAGGATGTTCATAAATCAAGATTTTTACCATTTGCAAAAGTGAGTCCCTGCAGTTCTCCCTGTTTAAAACAGGTTGAAGGGTTTGTGCTTGATGCTCTGCCCCTGGACTACATGCGAAGCTCTTGTAGAAGAGGATGGGACAAGTATCTGAGACGACTTTGAGGGAAATCTGAATGGAGCATCCAGAAATATTTCTATGTAGTTGTCTGAGGAACTGTGGAAGAGTCTCCCCAAGGGAAGGGAGAAGTAGATAGGTGGACATTTAATGTAAACATCCAATGTTATAACTTTCTAGTATGCAAAACACCCCGTTAGTTCTTAACGGTCTGGAGAAATGACTGTGATATGCTGCAATCACCTGCAAGCAACGTGACCCAATATTTTTAGGTTTGGAAGTCCAGATTCAGTTCAAAAACTGAAACCTGTTAGCACTTGATAACTCAAATCTTCTAGGGCAGTCCAAAGAATGTCATTGCACTGTCCCAGATAGCTCCCCTCAGCTCCTGCCTACGTCAGCTTGGGAGCAACATGACTACCTAGGGCCAGGGAGGAGGGTCTGAGAAATTAAGATCCTGTCCTTGGCTATGGCACAGACCTGGTTATCACTGTTACTACCAGCGTGCCACACAGGCTAATACTGTCTTAAGTGATTGCTGGACTGACGTTTTGGTAGTGTGGCACATCTAAGGCTCTCTGGAAGCCAAAGAGGAGACAGCCAGGGCAGGTCTTCATTTTTGAGAAGTCCGGGAGAGCCAAAACCAGTTGGTTCAACCAGAGGACTGATCTATACACCTCTGATATGTCTGTAATACTGCATCACAGGGATGACTTGGCAGCAAGGGTGTGCATCTGAAAACAGAAATGAAACACCTGAAAGCACATCTCTTAAAAATTATGGAAGTGGAGACAGAGCTGAAAATAAAGATCTTCTAAAGAATGGTGCTTAAACTGCATTCCTTAGGGCCTCCTTGCACACAGAAAAGAGCTGGGAAATAAATAATATGTATAGAAAGTGCATTCAAAGATCAGCTCCTTTATTTTAGGCCCTCTGACTTTAGCTCGAAAAGATGAGAGTACATAAAGGAATTTGAAGAGGACAAATATTGAAGAGAAAACTGCACACATCTGCAGAGGGCATCGAGTCATCTCCATTTCCAACAGAGTCGGAGTGAACACAAATGGCAGGGAATGAAGGGATGTCCTTGTGTCTTTTATGATGCAACAGAAGACATAATTTCTGATGAAAACACATGCAAAAGCAAGACTGCCTTCTGAGCAGTGTTTGATTACCAGATAGAAACTTAGGCAGTTCTGCACTGGTTTTGTTTCCATAGTGCATCCAGTGACCAGACAGCAGTAACAACCACAGATATATGTCGTTATTCTGCTCAGAGGACAGATATCTTGTATCCCACAGCAAAAGCCACTTTTGCTGTAACAGCTCTGAAAAAAAGCTAGGGTCAACCATCAGCATTGCAGCCAATGCAGAACAATTCACATAAAGCACTCAAGCATTTAGTGGAAAAGCAATAAGCTCATAGGAAGGAGACAAAAAGAACGATCACCAATGCAAAATCTCACTCTTCGAAAGTGATATTCCTCAACTAAGCAGCCAGAGAAATTGCTCAGTGTGACGTTTGTAAGGCCTGAACAGGGGAATGGAGCGGAAATAAGGGAAGAGGAAAAGAGAAAGCGCTAAGAAAATCCTCCTGATAGTAAAAGGCAGAACTGTCTCAAGGCAAAAGATGAAAATTTGCTCACTGGGAGGTATGTAAAACTAGAACAGAGAAAACACAGGAAAAAATGTATCACAAAAGAATCCTGCAGAGCCCCACAGGAGAGAGACTGGATGATCTCATATACCTCCTCCATCTCTGACCTCTGATTAGCGTACACCTCTAATTTATCTGTACTTGCATCTCGTCTGCCCTTCCAAGAACTATTGCTGACAATCTCTAATCACTGACAAGCAAACAGCTTTAAAACTGCACACCTCTTCTGGAGAAAAGGATGCCTGAGTTGAATGCCCAGAAGTAGACACCAAAAGGAGTCTGACAGAGAGAGGGAGGGCAAGGCTGCTGGGCCTCTGGCCTATCAGTTTTTATCACATTAAAATACTCACAGTAACTTTAGAACCAAAGCAACAGCCCCGTGAGCTGGTACTCAAGTCAGTGGACAGCTCAGAATGTTTCTGTTAGATCTTGCTTTCGCTTAAAAAAGCCCTGTAGTGTTGACCTACCTCATCCAGCTTCCTTACCTCTTTTTTCCCATGCAGATTTGGCCCTTGGTGGTGGAGTAGGAGAGAATTTGACAGAAGTATAAATTATTTCCTCACTTGCCTCGGCTGCAGAATTATCTGATCTGCTTCCCTCCATGCCAAAGCAAAGTGTGAGTGTGACAAGATGTTTCGATTAGGCTGTTGAGCGACAGGGCTCACCGCCTGTGAAACAGGAAGCCTGAGGCTATATGCAGAAAGCAAAAAAAGAGTTGCAACCTCTATCTCCATCTGCTCAAAAAAAAAAAAATTTACAATAGAATGGAGAGCAATGGAAGTGCCACAACTTCCATTTCCTAACCTGGTAAGGGTTAAGAGCAGCCATTAGTGGAAGAGGTGATTAATCACAAGGTTCACTGGTGGTGTAATTGTTGCCAAGACAAGAGGCTGTGATTGCAGTGAGTAATTGCGAGAATGTGTGTCACTCTGAAGAGCTCCTTCTTAGGATAGAAGGAGGTGGATAACGAGAGTACGAGGTGAAAAATGGGATAAGCAATGGCTATGGCAAAGTGGCAGCCCAGCTGCTGTCAAAAGGGGAGCAGAGGTGAACATGGGTTTGAGAAGGAAGCCTTGTGAGCTTTTGACACTTCCTACTGTCCCTGCATGTACACCCAACACCTAGTGTGTATGAGCTTGAGACACAGGCAGGCACTGAGAGCTGGCATCCCTAAAGACCCTCAGGACTCAGCATCTCAACAGCATCAGTACAAGAGAGGCATGGACGTACTGCAGAGAGCCTAGCAAAGAGCCACAAATATGGTTAAGGAACATCTCTCCTATAAAGAAAGGCTGAGAGATCTGGGACGATGGAGCCTGGAGAGGAGACATCTCAGGGAAGAGCTTGTTCATGTATAAAAATACCTGAAAGAGGGTACAAGGAGAGCCAGGCTTTTTTCAGTGGTGCCCAGATACAGGACCAGAGGCAGTGAGCACAAAATGAAACACAGAAAGTTCCCTCTGAGCATCAGGAAACACTTTTTTACTGTGAGGGTGACTGAACACTGGCACAGGTTGGCCAGAGAGGTTGTGGTGCCTACCTCCATGGAGAGCTGTCTGTACATGGTCCTGGGCAACCAGCTGTAGGTGGCCTGGCTTGAGCAGGAGGTTGGACCAGGTGACCTTGGGAGATCCCTTCTAATCTCAACCATTTTGTGATCAGCAATAACAAGAAACGTCAGGGGTTTTGTCTGCACAGTTGGCTGATTTGTGTTCTAATCCAGATTCTGATCCCTTCCAGTTCACGCTGAGATTGGGGAAGTTTGCCAGGCTTGTGGTGTACATTTTCATCACTTGGACAGTTCATTTACAAGAATTGTTTGGGCATTCTCAAAAAAAGGAGTTTACCGTGCTGTTCAGTTCTAGGACAGGGATGATTGCTCCCTGCCTTGGTGGCATGCTGCAAACTTGAGAAGTGAATACTCAGAAGGATGTTTAGTATATTGTTATGGTCAACCGAGTGCAATGCACATGTCTGGGAAGGCACGGATTAGGTATTTCTGCAAATCCGTCCATCACACACTTTCCTCTAGGGGTGGCATATTGCACCCACAAGACTCCTTCCAGCCCTGTGTAAGGCCTGTAAACATGAAGACAGGGAGTCTGCACTTTGGAAGAAGGGGAAGGCAGAAGAAAGTAGAGCAACACAAGAGAAAGAAAGTCTCTCTTGAATGCTTTGAATGGGCATTGGAGAAGTTGAAAGAGGTATCAGTCTCAGAGAGGGAGAATTTGTTATCATAGAATCACATAATCACAGAATGTTCGAGGTTGGAAGGGACCTCTAGGGATCATCTAGTCCAGCCTCCCTGCCAGAGCAGGATCCCCTAGGGCAGCCACACAGGAACGCATCCGGGTGGGTTTTGAAAGTCTCCAGAGAAGGAGCCTCCACAACCTCTCTGGGCAGCCTGTGCCAGGGCTCTGTCACCCTCACAGTAAAGAAAGTTTTCATGTTGAGGTGGAACTTCCTATTGTTCTAACTTAAACCCATTATTCCTTGTTCTATTACTGGCACCACTGAGAAGAGATTGTCTCCTTCCTCTTGACACCCACCCCTCAGATATTTGTACACGTTAATAAGGTCCCCTCTCAGCCGTCTCCTTTCAAGACTAAACAGCCCCAGTTCTATCAGCCTCTCTTCATAGGAGAGAAGTTCAAGTCCCTTAATCATCCTCGTAGCTCTCCGTTGGACTCTCTCCAGTAGGTCCCTGTGTCTCTTGAATTGGGGAGCCCAAAGCCGGACACAGGATTCCAGGTGTGGTCTCACCAGGGCAGAGTAGAGGGGGAGGAGAACCTCCCTGGACCTGCTGGACACACTTTGCTTAATGCACCCCAGGATCCCATTGGCCCTCTTGGCCACAAGGGCACATTGCTGTCCCAACGAGAGCTTAGCTGGGAAGTAGTTGGTGCGGCTGGAAAGAAACCAACAGATTTCAGACATGGCTTCAGTGCCCAGACCAAGGGGAAAAGGCTGTTGGCTACAAGGCGGGCAGGCTGCATGCAGGACCAGTGTGCTCACAAAGCCTGGGATATTTGCGAACAGGTGGAAAGAGGAAC